GGCCATGGCTCATGGGCCCAGCCGCTCCGCGGCATGTGGGATCTTCCCGGACCGGGGCACGAACCCGCGTCCCCTGCATCGGCAGGTGGACCCTCAAGCACTGCGCCACCAGGGAAGCCCCCTGGCCTGAGTATTAATTAGCATTTGTGCTTGCTAGGACCTTCTGTCTTCCCTGGCAAAGCTAGTTTTATCACCTATAAGGGAGTAGCTGAGAAGAATCGGAATAAATACTGTTAATTGAGTGCACATTACCTGCCAGATGCTGTGCTTGATGCTTTACATACTTTGTTAATCCTTGCAGCCGCCTTACAAGGTTGAGAGAGAGCTTAAGGTGGCCCAGGTTATGTAATTACTAAGTGGCTGAATTAGGTCTAGAACTCGCATCTGCCTGACTCTAATACTCGCTCTCTTTCTACTCTACCTTACCACCTCTCTTATGTGTTGTATAGGTATCCATTTACATACTTTTAAATCTTTCCAGAAGAGAAGAGTATTGAAAAAAATGTTATTAAAAATAGGAAATTCCTGGGAATTCCCTGGCGGTCCATTGGTTAGGACTCCATGCTTCCATTGCAGGGGGCCTGAGTTCCATCCCTGGTCAGGGAACTAGGATCCCACAAGCCTCGAAGCACGGCTGGAAAAAAAAAAGGAAATTCCTTTTTGGAAGTGTCCACTTACTATTTAAAAATGTGGAAGAGTAGCGCTTACTGCATGATTTCTCAGTATGAAAGCTGCATTCCATTTTATTATAATTAACAATAATAGCTCACATTTTATTGGGTGCTTACCGTGTGTGAGGCACTATGCAAGCACTTTGCATATATTACCGTATTTAATCATCAGTGACTATGGTAGTTATTACTTTCATTTCCATTTTCTGGACTAAGGGACTGAAACGTGTAGATGCTAAGTAATTTACCCAGATTTTCAAGGCAAGTAGCAGAGTGGGGACTCCAGCTCAGCTTTGTCTGTTATCAGCCTGTGGTTCTTGGCCTGTGGGGTAGTGGGACTAGAAAGCAGGTAGATTCATTAATTTGGGGATAGCTAAGATTGTCAAATCTCCTTCAGTTACTTAGCATTAGAAGATTAAAAAAAAGAAAAAGAACAGGTGATCGTAGCATTTATCGGGTCTGTGGGTCGGATGGATATCCATCTGAGGAAATTTTTTTTTTTTTTGGCCACGCCACGCGGCTTGTGAGACCCTAGTTCCCCGGCCAGGGATCAAACCCGTGCCCCCTGCAGTGGAAGCATGGAATCCTAACCACTGGACCGCCAGGGAAGTCCTTGAGGAAATCTTGTTTGTAGAAAACTGCTGTGTATTTTAGCTGTTAATATGTTTTGGGATTCAAAGTAATTAGTGATGTCTTTCACAATTATTTTTGCTTAATTTTTCCATTTGGTAGTCCATATATTTCTTTCATGAAAATCAGCTTGGAGTTTTAGTGTGTAAAACAATCTCAGGAGATCTTTTCGTGCAGAGGTCTTAGGGAGTTCACGATGGGTATTAGAAGGAAATTGTAAGTAAATTTTTGGGTGCAGACATAACATTTTTGGTAATAGGGTTTATAGCTTTTATCAGCCTCTCTCAGGAAATAGAGACCCTGAAAAAAAAATCTAGTTTAAGTGTTTTGCCTTCCATTCTACGGATGGGGAAACTGAGGTTCAAAGAGGTAGAAGTGACTTGCCAAAGGTAGGTCACAGAACAAATTTGTGATAAGAGTGATCCAGAACCTAGATCACCAGACTCCCATTTCAGAACTCTTTTAAAATTTACTTACTCAACCATGTTACTTCTCAAAGTCAACATATTATAATACTATAAATGTTAAATTTTATTGCTTGATGGGAAATTTCAAAATGTGTTTTTGGTTATTGCAGTTGCTTCACTGTGAACACCTATATTCTTTCCTCTTTAGGTTATTGGATAAGCTGCCAATAAAGTAGTATATTAGACCTTTAGAGTAAAAAAGATGTTTATGGGATTTATAGATGTAGGTCTCAACATAAAGCCTGATTCCCCGCCCCCCACCCCCAAAGTAGTAATAGGGAGTATTTTCTGTACATGTTTGTGAATACTGCTTAGTCTTCTGATTCAAGACAGTGAGGTTACTTGCTGGAAAATAAATTTGAAGGTGAACAAACTAGAATGAGGAAGGGCTTTTGTAAATTAGTAACAGTATGCACGTGACGCCATCTATTCTGAAGACAGTGTGCAAATGGAGCGTTGTTTAAATAGGTCTTGAAATTTTCTGTTCCAAAAAGATTCCAGTTGTTGGCTTCTGCTTAAGATACCTAACCATGCGTTTTTGAGAGGATATTAAATACATACAGAGTTAGTAAAGTGGACCACACTTCTGTGCTGACATTCTCAGCAGTGAGAGTGTGTCTCTGACTGTAAGAACTTAGAGCAGGTTACAGTTACAGACCTGAGAATTTGGAGTTGCTGATACATTTTATGTCATTTACAAATTATGACAGTAATACTGGAACATGTTATTTTAAAGTACATCAACAACGCACAATGTACAGAATAACAAGTGTTCCCTCCTTTCCCCACTCTCAGTCCCCTTTCCTAAGCAATCTGTATTAAGTTTGAATATACTGTGACCTTATTTCCTATGCCTTTACAATATACATTATGTAGTGCTTTTTGTATAAATGATACACTGTAAATATTATCCTTGATTTAAAAAAATCTTATCAATGCCTTTCTGAATAGTAAGAAATTCAAGCTGTGCAGAAAGGTATATGGGGAAAGTAAAGGCTCCCTAAGCCCCCATCTCCTCTCTTCAGAGGTCACTGTTCCTTGGGTATCCATCTTGAAGATCTCTGAGCATATAAGAGCACACATATGTCCTTTTTTAAAATAATCAATCAATTAATTTATTTATTTTTGGCTGCATTGGGTCCTCATTGCTGTGCGCGGGCTTTTCTCTAGTTGGGGCGAGCAGGGGCTACTCTTCCTTGTGGTGTGCGAGCTTCTCATTGCGGCGGCTTCTCTTGTTGTGGAGCATGGGCTTTAGGCGCGCGGGCTTCAGTAGTTGTGGTACACGGGCTCAATAGTTGTGGCTTGCGGGCTCTAGAGCGCAGGCTCAGTAGTTGTGGTGCACGGGCTTAGTTGCTCTGTGGCATGTGGGATCTTCCCAGACCAGGGCTCGAACAGGTGTCCCCTGCAGTGGCAGGCGGATTCTTAACCACTGCACCACCAGGGAAGTCCCTAATGTATTTTTTTACATAAATGAGATGGTGTGATCCATATCTTCCTGCACTTTTCTTTGTTGACTTCATTGTGGATGAATTTTAAAGAAGTTTATTTCCATTTTCTCCTTTATGTGAATAGATATAAAATAAAGGACGTGTTAGGATTTTACAGACACCATGATGGAGAAACCTAGTATTCTTTTGTTATTAATATTGCATTTGTTTGAACCATAAATCCAAAGAGTGATTTATTTATTGTCTTAAATTTCCTTGGTTTTGCTCCCCTGGCTCCCTTGGATAAAGGGTTGTCCATAACAAGTGTGTGCAGTGACAATATAAAATAATGCAGAGCACATATGTTAATTGATACTTTATAGGAAAGTAATTTCATATGTATGTTAATTGATACTTTATAGGAAAGTAATTTCATATATTTGTTTTAAAGCTGGAATGGATTTTAATAAATC